CCCCAAAACCCCAAAACCCCAAGAATTCAATTTAGATTGTTTAATTGGTATTAGATATATTGAATAATCATTATTATATAAAGATGGGTAAAGAAGCAGACAAGCAAAGCAAAAGCACTAAGGTTCACAAGAAGACTCAACCAGTTAGGTACAGTTTCCACGCTAATTTCGGGAAGCAGCTTTTAACATTTTTTGTTTAGACTCTACACCAAGGCAGTGTTCACTGGATTCAAAAGAGGTAAAAGCACCCAACATGAACAATTTGCTCTTCTCAAGATCAAGGGTGTGAATGATAAGAAAGACACCTCATCCTACTTCGGAAAGAGAGTCGCTTACATTTTTAAGGTCAAGAACACTTCAAACAACACTAGATTCAGAGTTATCTGGGGTAGAGTCGTCAAGTCTCACGGAAACAACGGTTCTGTTAGAGCAAAGTTCGCAAGAAATCTTCCACCAAGAGCCATGGGATCTACTCTCAGAGTTATGCTCTATCCCAACAGAGCTATCTGAACATCTCTTATAGGCCTTTTAATTTCCTCAACTATTTCAAAAGATCCACCCTTTAGTCTGTTCTTCACTCATATATCTATTTTATTGCGTTATTCTGTTAGAAATTCTCTAAGGATGAAGCTTCCAATCTTTTATATATTATTAATAAATATATAGTTTGAAATCTTAAGTTAACTAGAGAATTCATAAATTAAGCATTATCATTAGAAATAAAGTATTCTTCAATTATCATATAATTCAATCTTTCGTTAAGTTTCCAATTCATTCCAAACTTCTATAATAATATCACTCGTTAAGCTGCTGAATCCTGCCTGCAGTTGTCAGATTCTGACTGTTATAAGAATTGGCGAGATTATTTCTGCCCATACTTCTCTCAGTTCTGCTGAATCCTCCTTGTGCTGTGCTCTGTCTATGATTGAAACTTTGGGCTGTTCTTCTTCTTGGTGAATTCAAACTCTTGAGAATAGTAGACATTTTCTTTGTGTTGACTTCTTCCTCCTTGAATTTAACATATTCTTCATCTCCCATAATATCATTTTGATCCCTGTTTCTATACTTCTTGTCAAAGTCGACACTCTTCATGTAATTTTGAGTCATTATTCTCATGATTTAGGTATAGTTTTGAAGAATTGAGAGTCTTGGCAACTCTTGCTTCTCTTGCAAAAACGTTCTGAAGTTATTGGACTAATTTATAAATGAATCACCACTCTATCTGAGTCTTGATTGAGACTAAGATTTCATTTGTGTATTGTTATCATGATAGTAGCCGGCTTTGAATGTAGGACCAACCATCCTTTACTTGTTTTACAAATGATCTTCAAAATCTTTTCTTCTTTTAGTTTCATATTCCTCTCTAAATAATTAGAAGTTGTCATTTTTAATAGATGTTTTGGCTTGTGCAGGATTATTAGGGATGAAGGTTTATCCTTGTTTGACTTTGCTAACAGGAATACCATTTTCAGCTCTTAATAGCAACCTTTATCTGATTTGATCACTGAAAGTGGGCTTCGTAAGCATAAAAAGTTCACTGTTGTTGTTATTATTATGACTATTATTTTATTTTCTGTGAGATCTGAATCCAGCTGATCCCATTTAAGAATATTCATTTGACTGAGAGTTTTACTAAAGTACATTTTTTGCTTTTTCATACTCCCTGAGCATTGGAAATCTTCGTTGCACGATATTTTAGCTAAACAATAAACAACTTAGAAAATTACTCAGCTTTATATTTATTCTGATGATGGGTGTTGCACTCTGTGTAAGGTTGTATAGCAGGCTCGTAAAGCACCTTATTCTCAGGACTTTCGTCACTTCTTAAATGCGCTTTATCTCTTTGAACCTTCACAAATGCCTCACTTTCTTAAACATGCATTAAATGAGATGAAAGACTTACCTCTGTAGAACCTCTGATTCATATTCATTGTGTCGTGATACATTCTGAGGTATTGCTTGTCCCCTCCTCCGTTAATAGACATTTCTACGAATTCTCAATTTTATTTATTACAAAATATATTTATTTTTCATTTTATTGCATTTTAAAGTTTCCGGGGTTTTGGGGTTTTGGGGTTTTGGGG